AAACTCGGCTTGGGAAACAAGTGTTGGCGACATGTGGACGAAAATAGATTTCCGATAGCTGTCTCCGGAGGGAGAGAGGTCAAGTTTCTGGCTGACAATGGGGCCAGTAATTACAAAATTATCACAAGACAAACAAACCGTCGTCACCTGTGTTGGTGGAGGCAGCAAGGAGAGTGGCAGGGAAGGGTGCCAATACCAACAATTACAGGCATTATAGCATTATTCAGAACGCTCACCAAGTACTTGTGGACAATTTTAATACAGTACTGCAGTTGGAATGCTGAAAATATCATGACAAATTACAAAAATACAAATAAGAAACTGATTTACAAACATTGAAGGTTTCCTCATAATTCATAATTTCTGGTAAAAAAATATTCTAGTTTGAATGAATGAATTTTTGCAATATATTATACTAACTGGATTAATGATCTTTCACAGAAAATTCGGAGTTTTGATTAAAGGAATTGTTCAATAAAATATATCCTTGTATGTTATTGTTTTTATTTAGAATCATAAGTGAGCGTAGCTAATTAGGAAAGGAATATAATTATTACTTCTTCCAGTCAACAAGAATCTTGTCTAGACTATTTTAATTTACCTGGTGCCACGGAGTGTGGATTCAGAGTATGGAACAGTAGGCGAATAACACTAAGTTATCCCTATCATCATAAATCTAATGCTAAGTATGCTCAGGACTCTTGTATGAGTCAGAAGCGTGAACACTTTCAGCAGACACCAGAAAGAAGTTGGACGCCTTTGAAATGTAGTGTTATAGGCGAATGTTAAGAATAAGTTACAATGACAGGAAAACAAATGAAGAAGTAATAAGAATAGCAAACCCTTCAAGAGAAATCCTTAAAATAGATACCTTGGTCATATAATTAGTAATGGAGGAATAATAACAAATATATTAATGGGGAAAATTGAGGGTAGAGGCCAGGGGAAGGCAGAGACTGGGATGGACGAATTAAATTAAAAACTGGGTCCCCAAAGAGAAGCAAATTCTTAGATGATTGGTAAAAACAGTCCGAGAATGTTTAGAGTGGGGGACTGAGGTCGCCAACCCTTAGATATGAGGACGGTACTCTGATTAATTGAATATTGTAAGCTAATCCAGACGAGAAAGACCTGTCTAGGAAACTTCAAAACTAATTCAGCTAATTGAAAGTTTTATGATCATTTTTACAATATTTACAAATACTGTACCAGAACATAACGCTTTAGCAATACAGAAATATCTCAATTAACCTTGAAATATTCTGATAAAAATTACCTTTGCAATCCCTCGAAAAAAAATTTGGGGCAAGATGAACAACATCGTCAAACTCTAAACTTTGACTAACAAACTTGGTCACCACATTGTTAAAGATAACCTTTAGCTCCCTTACATTATACTGCATTTAGGGCAAGGAAATCCTACCCCAGCATAATGCTCTTCTCAAAAACTGTTCACCTGACCGCCCTGTCTCTATCATGGGGTGGACGGTCCTTTACCTGCAGAGTGATCTAGAACAACCTCTATCCACCATTACTCATTTTCTATTGCTCACCTGCTGGCGCAGAAAGGCAAAGGGCTTTCTAAGTCACTGACTTTTACTTCTTACTCTAGAACAACCGTGGACACACATTATGGACTATTTTCTGACGTACCTCTTGAATTAATGTCAATCAAACGTTCAAACATTGTGCCTGTGTGAACAGTGAGGAAAACAACGTTAAATAACCATCCCCAAAGCTTAAGAATGGAAGGGTATGAAGGCAAAAGAGGAATTTGAAATGCTAGGTCATTGCATCACAGTAGGAAATATGAACATATTTACAGACACAAAATGTTTGCAGTGGGACATACTGAGATTCAGTGAAAAATGACAGACAAGTTAAAATAGCATTAGTAGAGAAGATTGTCACTTATACAGTCAGGGGGTGAGAGAGGTTAGTAGTCTTTTTAAACAGAATATCAGTAGTTGTGTGCAGTATCAGTCTGTTAGTTGGAATTCTGTTAGACGAGATTACAGCAAAACACCTGAATACAATTCAGGTTTCCGAAACAACAAATGATAATGAAAATAATGTCTTAGAAAAGTTTATGAAGATTGACGAAAAAAAAAACGTACAAACTGTGAGAGCTAAGAGATATTCAATTATAAAGGGTGATTTCCGTGCAGACGTTGGGAAGGTGAGAGAAACACCAAAAGTAGGATCACATGAGTTCGGTAAAAATTATTGAACAAATAGACAATTTACTTCAGGAAAACTAGACGAACATTATAAATCCATCTCATTCCTGGTTCTCATTCTGGTTCTTAGGTTCTGCAATTCTTGTTGCAGCATTTTCTGTGTGGATTTGTTATAACATATTGCGTGTTATAACTGGAGGTATACGCTGTATCTGTAGTACTGTGTGCTAAGGCCCGGTCTACCTGGTAACCAGCTTCAACCACACTTCACACCTCTGTAGTGATCTCTATTACATATTTTTTTTATACCCAGAGTGTTGTAGCTGCACATACTTGCATTATATTAGAGTGGTGCATATTTCCTAAACCCTCTTTGTTGCGGAAGTGATCAAAAGGTTACTGAAAATCAACATCCTAGTGAATCTTCTGCAACGTATCTGGTGGCACTGACGCTTTCCATTATGAGAAGGTTGGCGTAGCCATTTGTTTTTATGTGGGACAGTGAGGGGTAGAAGTTACCAAACATGGAGACCAGAGTACGGGCGCCCTCACCTGCCCCGCCCGCACCTGCGCGACTTCCCTGATTTACTCCCACCTGTCCATACCCGCATCACTGCCGGAGACTTTCGCTTCTCTTTCTCCACATTCATACATCATTATCATTATCTTCTCCCTTTCTAGTATTTCCCTTGTATTTCTCACAAGGCATGTTATTTTTGGTCTCAGTTCCTCTAATTCATCAACTTTGTCTCTCTGATTTTCGTCATCTGTGTTCCACCAATGTTGACAAACACCATCTAGAACAGCCTTCCTATATCCTAAAAACTCACATATCCATAAGCGTCATTACTATCTCCTATTTTCAGCCCCCACAATTGTCGCTCTCTTCACCTTCTTTTCTTTAACTCCTCATCAACATGCTAAATTTATCCCGAATCATTTCTCCTAATTTCCCGATTTCACTTCTGCCTCCAGACTACTGTCTTTACGCGCTCCTTCCTTCCATTTTTTTTATGGGGAATAGCCCACCCGGGCACAAGTCTTCGACCCACAACGGGGACTGGGGTGAAAAATAAGAGTAAAAAAAAAAAAAATAGGTATGGGAGAAAACGAGTATGTTAACATACTACGAAGATGCCGGAAAACCAGCATTTTGAAGTGAGACAGATTGTAAGAGGATGGAAACACGGAAGAAGGTAGAGCATTCCACAGTTTGGCTGTGTTGGGAAACAATGATATACTGTAACGGGTTATTCTAGTGTGACTGACATCCACACAGAAAGGGTTGGGCACCACGGGCAAGACAAATGTTACGAGCCCACGGCCGCGCCGGTGGTACACAGGATGCCAAATCCACCGAACATTGGCCGTTAACGTACCTGTAAAAAAGCGAGTGTGAAGTAACATTGTGGCGAAGAGAAAGGGAAGAGAGATTCCACCTTATCTAACAGTTGGACAGATGAAGAGCCACCCCAGATATGAGAGCAGTACTCCAAGTTAGGACGTATGAATTATTATAAACTTGAAGCAATTCCTCAGGAGTGAAGTAGCTATGGCATCTGTACAGCATTCCCAGCTTTCGGGAGGCAGCGTTAGTAATGTTGTGGATATGTGGCTTCCATGACATATGAGAAGAAATGGTGAGGTCTAGCATATCTATTTTAGAATTTGGCAGAATAAATACGTCCTGAAATGTGATTGGTGGAGATTTTTCGACTGGAAGGTGTAATTGGTAAATACAGGGTTTTATTACTATTGTTTGACCAAATTTCTACCTCCCCATTCAGAGATGCTGCACAGCAGAATGGATGATTAGTAGTAGTGTGAAGTTAGTCATTGATAAAAAGCAAAAGAAGAGTAGGTGAAGAACAGAACCCAGTGGAACACTACTTGGGCAGAGAAAGAGCGAGAGATCGATCCGTCGATATATAACAACTGCCATGGATCAATTTTCAAGGAAGCTACAGTAGAAATAAGAGAACAAAGTGGGGGAGAGAAACCATAAGAGGGAAGTTCAGAAAGCAAACACATGCCATACCCTGTCAAATGCTTTAAAGATGTCGAGGGCCACGACAAAGGGGTTTCCCATAATACCAAATATTATACGAAAGTAAATAGATTCAGTAGGAGGTGGGGGCAAGAATAGGAGGAATAGAGTTGGAATCATCTAAGGTGGAGGTAGAGGAGAATAAGGTAAGAGAATTGGCTTTACCAGGGTTAGCTATAGAATTATCAGGTCGGAAGAGAGGAGGAAAAGAGGGAGTGCAGAAGTTATTACAGATGTTTTTAGTTAAGGACCAAAAGGATTTACAAGAAGAAGAGTTAGTCAGGTCAGCGGTCTTTATTTTTATACAATTCCCCTTGGCCCTACGAAGAATAACCTTACAACGGAGGTTAGTGGCACGTGTAGCGTGAGGGCTGTCAGGTGTGGGTATCACGTGTTGCGTGAGGGCTGTCAGGTGTGGGTGGCACGTGTTGCGGGAAGGCTGTCGGTGTGGGTGACACGTGTTGCGGGAGGCTCTGGGTGTGGGCGACACATGTTGCAGGGAGGCTGGCAGGTGTGGCTGGCACATGTTACAGGAGGATGGTAGGTGTGGCTGGCACATGTTGCAGGGAGGCTGAAAGGTGTGTTGGCACATGTTGGGAGGCTGGCAGGTGTGGCTGGCACATGTTGCGGAAGGGGCTGAGGTGTGGCTGGCACATGTTGCGGGAGGGCTGGCAGGTGTGGGTGGCACGTGTTGCGGGAGGCTGTGGGGTGTGGGTGGCACGTGTTGCGGGGAGGGCTCTCAGGTGTGGGTGGCACGTGTTGCATGAGAGCTGTCAGATGTGGGTGGCACGTGTTGTGGGAGGGCTGTCAGGTGTGGGTGGCACGTGTTGCAGGGAGAAGCTCTCAGGTGTGGGTGGCGTGTTGCAGAGAGCTGTCAGATGTGGGTGGCGTGTTGCAGGGCTGTCAGGTGTGGGTGGCACGTGTTGCATGAGGGCTGGCAGGTGTGGACGGCACATGTTGCGGGAGGGCTGGCAGGTGTGGCTGGCATATGTTGCGTGAGGCTGGCAGGTGTGGCTGAAGCATGCTACAGGAGGGCTGGCAGGTGTGGCTGGCACCTGGGGTGCAGGAGCTGGCAGGTGTGGCTGGCACAAGTTGCGGGAGGGCTGGCAGGTGTGGCTGGCACAAGTTGCTGTAGGGCTGGCAGGTGTGGCTGGCAAGTTGCGGGAGGCGCAGGTGTGGCTGGCATATGTTGCAGGAGGGCTGGCAGGTGTGGCTGGAACATGTTGCAGGAGGGCTGGCAGGTGTGGCTGAAACGCTATGCTACAGGAGGGCTGGCAGTGTGCCTGGCACATGTTGCGGAGGGCTGGCAGGTGTGGCTGGCACAAGTTGCAGGAGGCTGGCAGGTGTGGCTGGCACAAGTTGCGTAGGGCTGGCAGGTGTGGCTGGCACATTTTGCAGGGAGGGCTGGCAGGCGTGGCTGGCACATGTTGCCGGGGTGGCAGGTGTGGGTGGTACATGTTGCGGAAGGGCTGGCAGGTGTGGCTGGGATATGTTGCGGAGGGCTGGCAAGTGTGGGTGGCACGTGCTGCGTGAGCTGGCAGGTGTGGGTGGCACGTGTTACAGGGAGGCTGGCAGGTGTGGCTGGCATGTTACTGGAGGCTGTCAGGTGGGCGGCACGTGTTGCGGGAGGCTGGCAGGTGTGGCTGGCACATATTGCAGAGCTGGCAGGTGCGTTTTGGGAGGGCTGACAGGTGTGGGTGACTGTGCCGGGAGGCTGGCAGGTGTGGCTGGCACATGTTACTGGAGGCTGTCAGGTGTGGGTGGCTTTGGGAGGCTGACAGGTGTGGGTGACACATGTTGCAGGAGGGCTGGCAGGTGTGGTGGCACATGTTGCAGGGAGGGTTGGCGGGTGTGGGTGGTGTAGTAATTGAGGGCTGTCAGGTGTGGGTGGCATGCTGCAGGAGTGCTGGCAGGTGTGGGAGGCACCTGCTGGGGAGGGCTGGCAGGTGTGGGTGCACGTGCTGCGTGAGGCTGGCACGTGTGGCTGGCATGTTACAGGAAGGCTTGCAGGTGTGGCTGGCACATGTTGCGGAAGGCTGGCAGGTGTGGCTGGCACATGTTGCCATGGGCTGGCAGGTGTCGCTGGCGTGTTGCGGAGGATTGGCAGGTGTGGCTGCTGCATGTGGCAGGAAGGCTGGCAGGTGTGGGTGCGCATGTTGCCGGAGGGCTGGCAGGTGTGGCTGGCACATGTTGCAGGAGGGCTGGCAGGTGTGGGTGCACATGTTGCGGGTGGGCTGGCAGGTGTGGCTGGCACATGTTGCAGGAGGGGCTGGCAGGTGTGGCTGGCACATGTTGTCAGGAGGGCTGGCAGGTGTGGGTGGCACATGTTGGAAGGGCTGGCAGGTGTGGGTGGCATGTTGCGGGAGTGCTGGCAGGTGTGGGTGGCACATGTGCATGGAAGGCTGGCAGGTGTGGGTGGCACGTGTGACAGGAGGGCTGGCAGGTGTGGCTGGCAATATGTTAATGGATCGCGGTCAGGTGTGGGTGGCACGTGTTGCGTAGGGCTGGCAGGTGTAGGTGGCACATGTAGCGGAGGAGCTGGCAGGTGTGGGTGGCACATTCTCGTGGAAGGGCCTGGCAGGTGTGGGTGGCACGTGTTGTGAGGGGGCTGGCAGGTGTGGGTGGCACGTGTTGTGGTAGGGCTGGTGTGGGTGGCACGTGCTGCAAAATGCTGCGGGTGGGGAGGCAGATGCTGCAGGTGCTGGCAGGTGTGGATGGCACGTGCAGCAGGTGCTGGCAGGTGTGGGTGGCACGTGCTGTGGGAGGGCTGGCAGGTGTGGGTGGCGTGTTGCGAGAGGGGCTGGCAGGTGAGGACGGCACATGTTACAGGAGAGGCTCTCAGGTGTGGAGCAGCTGTGCTGCGGGAGGGGTTGGCTGGTGTGGCTGACACATGTAACAGGAGGGCTGGCAGGTGTTGGCTGGCACATGTTACGAGAGGGCAGGTGTGGCTGGCACATGTTGCAGGAGGGCTGGCAGGTGTGGCTGGCACATGTTGCCGGAGGGTGGCAGGTGTAGCTGGCACATGTTGCGGGAGAGCTGGCAGGTGTGGACGTCTCATGTTACGGGAGGGCTCTCAGGTGTGGGCAGCACATGTTGCAGGAGGGCTGTGGCTGGCACAAATTACAGGAGGGCTGGCAGGTGTGGCTGGCACAAGTTGCAGGAAGGCTGGCAGGTGTCGCTGACATGTTATGGAAGAACTGGCAGGTGTGGCGCACATGTTACAGGGCACTGCAGGTGTGGCTGGCACATGTTGCGGGAGGGCTGGCAGGTGTGGGCGGCACTATGTGCAGGGAGGGCTAGCAGGTGTGGCTGCACAAATTGCAGGAAGAGCTGGCAGGTATGGCTGACACATGTTACAGGAGGGCTGGCATGTGGGCGGCATGTTGCAGGAGGGCTGGCAGGTGTGGCTGGCACATGTTATGGGAGGGCTGGCAGGTGTGGCTGGCACATGTTGCAGGAGGGCTGGCAGGTGTGGGGGGCACATGGTGCGGAGGCTGTGGTAGGTGTGGCTGGCACATGTTGCAGGGAAGGCTGGCAGGTGTGGCTGGCACATGTTACAGGAGGGGCTGGGCAGGTGTGGGGGGCACATGTGTGCAGGGAGGGCTCTAAGGTGTGGGGCCATGTTGCAGGAGGCTGGCAGGTGTGGACGGCACAAGTGCAGGAGGGCTGCTGGGTGTGGCTGGCAGATGTTGCAGGAACTCTCAGGTGTGGCTGGCACATGTTGCAGGAGGGCTGGCAGGTGTGGACAGCATGTTACAGGAGGGCTCTCAGGTGTGGGCAGCACATGTTGCAGTAGGGCTGGCATGTGTGGACGGCATGTTGCAGGAGGCTGGCAGATGTAGCTGGCACATGTTGCGGGAGGGCTGGCAGGTGTGGGCACATGTTGCAGGGAGGGCTCTCAGGTGTGGGCGGCACATGTTGGGAGGGGCTGGGGTGTGGCTGGCACATGTTGCGGGAGGGCTGGCAGGTGTCGGCGGCACATGTTGCAGGAGGGCTCTCAGGTGTGGGCAGGCACATGTTGCGGGAGGGCTGGCAGGTGTAGCTGGCACATGTTGCAGGAGGGCTGGCAGGTGTGGGCAGCATGTTACAGGCTCTCAGGTGTGGGCGGCATGTTGGGAGGGCTGGCAGGTGTGGCTGGCACATGTTATGCAGGAGGGCTGGCATGTGGGCACATGTTGCAGGAGGAGGGCTGGTAGGTGTGGCATGTTGCAGGGAGGGCTGGCAGGTGTGGGGGCACAGTGCAGGGAGATCTCTAAGGTGTGGGCAGACATGTTGCAGGAGGGCGTGGCAGGTGTGGCTGGCAGATGTTGTGGGAGCGCTCTCAGGTGTGGCTGGCACATGTTGCAGGAGGGCTGGCAGGTGTGGACGGCACATGCAGGAGGGAGGCTCTCAGGTGGACGGCACATGTTGCGGAGGGCTGGCAGGTGTGGCTGGCATATGTTGCAGGGAGGCCTGGCAGGTGTGGCTGACATGCTACGGGAGGAGCTGGCAGGGTGTGCCTGGCACATGTTGCAGGAGGGCTGGCAGGTGTGGTGGCACAATGTTGTCGGAGGGCTGGCAGGTGTGGGTGGCACATGTTGCAGGAGTGCTGGCAGGTGTGGGTGGCGCGATGTTACAGGAGGGGCTGGCAGGTGTGACTGGCATGTTAATGGATCAGGTCAGGTGTGGGTGGCGTGTTGCGGGAGGCTGGCAGGTGTGGCTGGCATGTTGCGGGAAGGCTGGCAGGTGTGGGTGGCTTATGTTGCGGGGCTGAGCAGGTGTGGGTGGCACATGTTGCGGGTGGGCTGCAGGTGTGGCTGCACATGTTGCAGGAGTCTGGCAGTGGCTGGTGTCGGAGGGCTGGCAGGTGTGGGTGGCAATGTTGCGGAAGGGCTGGCAGGTGTGGGTGGCACATGTTGCAGGGGTGCTGGCAGGTGTGTGGGTGGCAGGTGTTACGGGGCTGGCAGGTGTGGCTGGCACATGTTGCAGGAGGTCTGGCAGGTGTGGCTGGCACATGTTTGGAAGGATCTGCAGGTGTGGCTGGCACAATGTGCCGGAAGGGCTGGCAGGTGTGGCTGGCACATGTTGCGGGAGGTCTCCAGGTGTGGCTGGCACATGTTGCAGGAGGGGCTGGCAGGTGTGGACGGCTCATGTTACAGGAGGGCTGGCAGGTGTGGACGGCACATGTTGCGGGAGGGCTCGTAAGGTGTGGCTGGCACATGTTGCAGGAGGGCTGGCAGGTGTGGACGGCTCATGTTGCAGGAGGCTGGCAGGTGTGGACGGCACATGTTGCGGGAGGGGGCTGGCAGGTGTGGCTGGCATGTTGCAGGAGGGCTGGCAGGTGTGGGGCACATGTTGCAGGAAGGCTGGCAGGTGTGGCTGGCACATGTTGCAGGGAGGGCTGGCAGGTGTGGGGGCACATGGTGCGGGAGGGCTCTCAGGGCAGCACATGTTGCAGGAGGGCTGGCAGGTGTGGCTGGCACATGTTGCAGGGAAGCTGGCAGGTGTGGCTGGCACATATTTACAGGAGGGCTGGCAGTGTGGGGGCACATGTTGCGGGAGGGCTCTCAGGTGTGGAGCAGCACATGTTGCAGGAGGGGCTGGCAGGTGTGGACGGCACATGTTGCAGGAGACTCAGGTGTGGGCGGCACATGTTGGGAGGCTGGCAGGTGTGGGCGGCATGTTGCGGGAGGCTGGCAGGTGTGGCTGGCAGATGTTGCAGGAGGGCTGGCAGGTGTGGCTGGCAAATGTTGCAGGAGGGGCTGGCAGGTGTGCCTGGCACATGTTCAGGAGGGGCTGGCAGGTGTGCCTGGCACAATGTTGCTGGGGGCTGGCAGGTGTGGGTGGTACATGTTGCGGAAGGGCTGGCAGGTGTGGGTGGCACATGCTGCGGGAGGGCTGGCAGGTGTGGGTGGCACGTGTTACGGGAGGGCTGGCAGGTGTGGCTGGCACATGTTACTGGAGGGTGTCAGGTGTGAGCAGCACGTGTTGCGGAGGCTGGCAGGTGTGGCTGGCACATGTGCGAGGGCTGGCAGGTGTGGGTGGCACGTGTTACAGGAGGGCTGGCAGGGTGGCTCTCACATGTTAATGGATCGCTGTCAGGTGTGGGTGGCACGTTTGCAGGAGGCGGCAGGTGTGGTGGCACATGTTGCGGGAGTAGAGGTGTGGGTGGCACGTGCTGCAGGAGTGCTGGCGGTGTGGGAGGCACTGCGGGAGGGGCTGCAGGTGTGGGTGGCACGTGCTGCGTGAGGGCTGGCAGGTGTGGCTGGCACATGTTACAGGAAGGCTACATGGTGGCTGGCACATGTTGCGGAGGCTGCAGGTGTGGCTGGCACATGTTGCCGTAGGGCTGGCAGGTGTCGCTGGCACGTGTTGCGGGAGGGCTGGCAGGTGTGGCTGGCACATGTTGCGGGAGGAAGGCTGGCAGGTGTGGGTGGCACGTGTTACAGGGAGGGCTGGCAGGTGTGGGTGGCACATGTTGCGGGAGGGCTGGCAGGTGTAGGTGGCACATGTCGCGGGGCTGGCAGGTGTGGGTGGCAGGTATTGTCAGGGGCTGGCAGGTGTGTGGTTGGCGTTTGTGGAGGCTGGCAGGTGTGGGTGGCACGTGTTGTAGTGAGGGCGGGCAGGGTGGAGGTGGCACGTACTGCGGGAGGGCTGGCAGGTGTGGATGGCACGTGCTGCGGGAGTGCTGGCAGGTGTGGGTGGCACATGTTGTGGGAGGGCTGCAGGTGTGGGTGGCACGTGTTCGCGACGGCCGGCAGGTGGCTCTCCATGTTAATGGATCGCTGTCAGGTGTGGGTTGCTGTTGGGAGGCTGACAGGTGTGGGTGCTTATGTTGCGGGAGGGCTGGCAGGTGTCGGCACATGCGAGGAGGCTGGCGGGTATAGGTGGTACTTGTTAATGGAGGGCTGTCAGGTGTGGGTGGCACGTGCTGGGAGTGCTGGCAGGTGATGGAGGCACGTGCTGCGGGAGGGCTGGCAGGTGTGGGTGGCACGTGCTGCGTGAGGGCTGGCAGGTGTGGAGGGCACATGTTGCGGGATGTCTCTCAGGTATGGGCAGCACATGTTGCAGAGGAGGGCTGGCAGGTGTGGCTAGCACATGTTACAGGAAGGCTTGCAGTTGTGGCTGTTCATGTGCGGGAGGGGTGGGTGTGGCTGGCACATGTTGCGGAGGGCTGGCAGGGTGTCCTGGCACATGTTGCGGGAGGGCTGGCAAGTGTGGCAGGCACATGTTGCGGGAGGGCTGGCAGTGTGGCTGGCACATGTTGTCGGAGGGCTGGCAGGTGTGGGTGGCACATGTTGCGGAAGGGGCTGGCAGGTGTGGATGGCGTGTTACGGGAGGGCTGGCAGGTGTGGCTGGCACATGTTAATGGATCGCGGTCAGGTGTGGGTGGCACGTGTTGTTGGAGGGCTGGCAGGTGTGGGTGGCACATGTTGCAGGAGGCTGGCAGGTGTGGGTGGCACATGTGCGGAAGGGCTGGCAGGTGTGGGTGGCGGAGTGGTGGCACGCTTTGTGGGAGGGCAGGTGTAGGTGGCGTGTTGTGGTAGGGCTGGCAGGTGTGGTTGGCATGCTGGGAGGCTGGCAGGTGAGGGAGGCACGTGCTGCGGGAGGGCTGGCAGGTGTGGATGGCACGTGCTGCGGGGTGCTAGCAGGTGTGGGTTGGCATGTTAATGGAGGGTTGTCAGGTATGGGCGGCACGTGTTGCGGGACGCTGGCAGGTGTGGGTGGCACGGGTGGGCTGGCAGGTGTGAGTGGCACATGTTGCGGGAGGGCTGGCAGGTGTAGGTGGTACATGTTAATGGAAGGCTGTCAGGTGTGGGTGGCACGTGCTGCGGGAGTGCTGGCAGGTGTGGGAGGCACGTGCTGCAGGAGGGTTGGCAGTTGTCTGTGGCACGTGCTGCGTGAGGGCTGGCAGGTGTGGGGGGCACATGTCGCTGGAGGTCTCTCAGGTGTGGGCAGCATGTTGCAGGAGGGGCTAGCAGGTGTAGCTGGCACAAGTTGCAGGAAGGCTGGCAGGTGTGGCTGACACATGTTACGGGAGGAGCTGGCATGTGTGGCTGGCACATGTTACAGGGCTGCCAGGTGTGGTCGGCACATGTGCAGGAGGGCTCTCAGGTGTGGGCGGCACATGTTGCGGGAGGGCTGGAAGGTGTGGACGGCACATGTTACGGGAGGGCTCTCAGGTGTGGCTGGCACCTGCTGGGAGGCTGGCAGGTGTGGCTGGCACATGTTGGCGAAGGGCTGGCAGGTGTGGCTGGCACATGTTGCGGGAGGGCTGGCAGGTGAGGCTGACACATGTTGCTGGAGGCTGACAGCTGTGGGCATGTTGCGGGAGGAGGAGCTGGCAGGTGTGGGTAGCACATGTTGCGGGAGGGCTGACGGGTGGCCGGCACATGGCAGGAGGCTGGCAGGTGTGGCTGGCACATGTTGCGAGGCTGGCAGGTGTGGCCAGCATGTTGCGGGAGGCACAGCAGGTATGGCTGGCACATGTTACAGGAGGGCTGGCAGGTGTGGGCAGCACATGTTGCAGGAGGGCTGGCAGGTGTGGGTGACACGTGCTGCGGGAGGGCTGGCAGGTGTGGGTGGCACATGTTGCGGGAGGGCTGGCAGCTGTGGGTTGCACGTTTTACGGGAGGGCTGGCAGGTGTGGGTGGCACGTGTTGTGGGATATCTGGCAGGTGTGGCTGGCATGTTGTGGGAGGGGTGGCAGGTGTGGGTGACACGTGCTGCGGGAGGGCTGGCAGGTGTGGGTGGCACGTGCTGCGGGAGGGCTGGCAGGTGTGGGTGACACGTGCTGCAGGAGAAGGCCTGGCAGGTGTGGGTGGCACGTGCTGCGGGGAGGCTGGCAGGTGTGGGTGGCACGTGCCGCGAGCAGGTGTGGGTGACACGTGTTGTCGGAGGGCTGGCAGCTTGGGTGGCACGTGCTGTGGGAAGGCGCTGGCAGATGTGGGTGAAGAGCTGTGGGTGGGCTGGTAGGTGTGGGCGTGTTGCGGAGGGCTGGCAGATGTGGGTGGCACGTGTTGTGGGAGGGCTGGCAGGTGTGGGTGGGAGCCGAGGGAGGTTGGCAGGCTTAGGTGACATGTGTTGACAGAGTTAGCAGGAGTAGGAGACATGTGTTGACAGAGTTAGCAGGCGTAGGTGACATGTGTTGGCAGAGTTAGCAGGAGTACAGAGACAAGTGTTGGAAGAGTTGGTAGGCGTGGAGACATGTGTTGACAGAGTTCGCAGGCGTAGGAGACAAGTGTTGGAAGAGTTGGCAGGCGTAGGTGACATGTGTTGGGAGGATTGGCAGGCGTAGGTTACATGTGTTGACAGTGTTGGCATGCGTAAGAAACATATTTTGGAAGAGTTGGCAGGCGAAGGTTACATGTGTTGACAGAGTTCGCAGGCGTAGGAGACAAGTGTTGGAAGAGTTGGCAGGCGTAGGTGACATGTGTTGATAGAGTTGGCAGGCATAGGTGACATGTGTTGACAGAGTTGGCAGGCGTAGGTGACATGTGTTGGAAAAATTGGCAGGCGTAGGTGACATGTGTTGATAGAGTTGGCAGGCATAGGTTACATGTGTTGACAGTTTGCAGGCAGGAGACATGTGTTGGAAGAGTTGGCAGGCGTAGGTGACATGTGTTGGGAGAGTTGGCAGGCGTAGGTGACATGTGTTGACAGAGTTGGCAGGCGTAGGTAACATGTGTTGACAGAGTTGGCAAGCGTAGGTGACATGTGTTGTAGAGTTGGCAGGCGTAGGTGACATGTGTTGACAGAGTTGGCAGGCGTAGGAGACATGTGTTGACAGAGTTGGCAGGCGTGGGTGACATGTGTTGATAGAGTTGGCAGGCGTAGGTGACATGTGTTGGAAGAGTTGTGCAGGTGTAGGTAACATGTGTTGGCAAAGTTGGCAGGTGTAGGAGACATGTGTTGACAGGGTTGGCAGGCGTAGGAGACATGTTGGCAGACTTGGCAGGCGTAGGTGATATGTTGGAAGGTTGGCATGCGTAGGTGACATGTGTTGACAGAGTTGGCAGGCGCAGGTGACATGTGTTGGAAGAGTTGGACGAGAGACATGTTGGCATTTTGGCAGGCATAGGTGACATGTTGGCAGGATTGGCAGGCGTGGGTTACATGTGTTGACAGCGTTGGCAGGCCTAGGGAACATGTGTTGGAAGAGTTGGCAAGCGTAGGAGACATGTGTTGACAGAGTGGGCAGGCGAAGGTGACATATGTTGGCATCGTTGGCAGGCGTTGGAGACATGTTGACAGAATTGGCAGGCGTAGAAACATGTGTTGACAGAGTTGGCAGGCGGAGGTGACATGTGTTGATAGAGTTAGCAGGCATAGGTGACATGCTTTGACAGAGTTGGCAGGTCGTAAGTGACACACGTTGGCAGAGTTGGCAGGCGTAGGAATGTGTTGACAGAGTTGGAAGGCGTAGGTGACATGTGTTGACAGAATTGGCAGGCGTAGGTGACATGTGATGGCAGAGTTGGCAGGCGAAGGAGACATGTGTTGGGAAAGTTGGCAGGGGTAGGTGACATGTGTTGTTGGAGTTGGCAGGCGTAGGTGACATGTGTTGACAGAGTTGGAAGGCGTAGGTGACATGTGTTGACAGAGTTGACAGGCGTAGGTGACATGTGATGGCAGAGTTGGCAGGCGAAGGAGACATGTGTTGGGAAAGTTGGCAGGGTAGGTGACATGTGTTGGCAGAGTTGGCAGGCGTGGGTGACATATGTTGACAGATTTGGCAGGCGTAGGTGCCATGTGTTGACAGAGTTGGCAGGCGTAAGTGACATACGTGTAGCAGAGTTGGGGGTAGGAATGTGTTGACAGGGTTGGAAGGCGTAGGTGACATGTGTTGACAGAGTTGACAGGCGTAGGTGACATGTGATGGCAGAGTTGGCAGGCAGGAGACATGTGTTGACAGAGTTGGCAGGCGTAGGAGACATGTGCTGACAGAGTTGGCAGCCGTAGGTGACATGAGTTGACAGAATTGGCAGGCGTAGGAGACATGTGTTGGGAGAGTTGGCAGGCATAGGTGACATGACTTGACAGAATTGGCAGTCGAAGACATGTGTTGGGAGAGTTGGCAGGCGTAGTAGGATACATGTGTTCAGAGTTGGCAGGCGGAAGAGACATGTGTTGGGAAGTTGGCAAGGGTAGGTAACATGTGTTGGTAGGGTTGGCAGGAGTAGGTGACATGTGTTGGCAGAGTTGGCAGGCGTAGGTGACATTTGTTGACAGAGTTAGCAGGCGTAGGGGACATGTGTTGGCAGAGATGGCAGGCAGAAGGAGACATGTGTTGAGTTGGCAGCGGGGCATGTGTTGACAGAGTTGGCAGGCGTAGGAGACATGTGTTGACAGAGTTGGCAGGCGTTGATGATATAAGTTGACAGAATTGGCAGGCGTAGGTAACATGTGTTGGCAGATTTGGCTGGCAGAAGGGCATGTGTTGGGAGAGTTGGCAGGCATAGGTGACATGAGTTGACAGAATTGGCAGGAGGAGACATGTGTTGGGAGAGTTGGCAGGCGTAGGAGACATGTGTTGGCAGAGTTGGCAGGCGTAGGTGACATGTGTTGGGAGAGTTGGCAGGCGTAGGAGACATGTGTTGACAGGAGTTGGCAGGCGTAGGTGACATGTGTTGACAGAGTTGGCAGGCGTAGGTGACATGTGTTGACAGAGTTGGTAGGTGTAGGTGACATGTGTTGACAGAGTTGGCAGGCGTAGGTGACATGCGTTGGCAGGAGCTGGCAGGCGAGACACGTGTTGACAGAGTTGGCAGGCGTAGGTGACATGTTGACAGAGTTGGCAGGCGAAAGAGATGTTTTGGGAGAGATAGCAGGCGTAGGTGACATGTGATGGCAGATTTGGCAGGCAGGGAGACATGTGTTGACAGAGTTGGCAGGCGTAGGAACATGTGTTGACAGAGTTGGCAGGCGTAGGTGACATGAGTTGACAGAATTGGCAGGCGTAGGAGACATGTGTTGGGAAGTTGGCAGGCATAGGTGACATGACTTGACAGAATTGGCAGGCGAAGAGACATGTGTTGGGAGAGTTGGCAAGCGTAGTAGGCATGTGTTGACAGAGTTTACAGGCGAAGAGGGGCATGAGTTGGGAAAGTTGGCAGGGGTAGGTGACATGTGTTGGCAGAGTTGGCAGGCGTAGGTGACATGTGTTGGGAGAGTTGGCAGGCGTGGAGACATGTGTTGGCAGAGTTGGCAGGCGTAGGAGACATGTGTTGACAGAGTTGGCAGGCGAGAAGGAGACATGTGTTGGGAAAGTTGGCAGGGTAGGTGACATGTGTTGCTGGGGTTGGCAGGCGTAGGAGAAATGTGTTGACAGAGTTAGAAGGCGTAGGTGACATGTGTTGACAGAGTTGACAGGCGTAGGTGACATGTGATGGCAGAGTTGGCAGGCAGAAGGGGCAAGTGTTGACAGAGTTGGCAGGCGTAGGAGACATGTGTTGACAGAGTTGGCAGGCGTAGGTGACGTGAGTTGACAGAATTGAGCGTAGGAGACATGTGTTGGGAGGGTTGGCAGGTATAGGTGACTTGACTTGACAGAATTGGCAGATGAAGAGACATGTGTTGGGAGAGTTGGCAGGCGTAGTAGGAGACATGTGTTGACAGAGTTGACAGGCAGGGAGACATGTTGGGAAAGTTGGCAGGGGTAGGTGACATATGTTGACAGAGTTGGCAGGCGTAGGTGACATGTGTTGGCAGAGATGGCAGGCGTAGGTAACATGTGTTGGCAGATTTGGCTGGCAGAAGGAGACGTGTGTTGGGAGAGTTGGCAGGCATAGGTGACATGAGTAGACAGAATTGGCAGGAGAAAAAGACATGTGTTGGGAGAGTTGGCAGGCGTAGGAGACATGTGTTGACAGAGTTGGCAGGCGTAGGAGACATGTATTCACAGAGTTGGCGAGCGAAGGAGACATGTGTTGGGAGAGATTGGCAGGGGTAGGTGACATGTTGGCAGAGTTGTCAGGCGTAGGTGACATGTGTTGGCAGAGTTGGCAGGCGTAGGTGACATTTGTTGACAGTGTTGGCAGGCGTAGGTGACATGTGTTGGCAGAGTTGGCAGGCGTAGGTGACATGTGTTGATAGAGTTAGCAGGCATAGGTGACATGCTTTGACAGAGTTGGCAGGCGTAGGTGACATGTGTGACAGAGTTGTCAGGCGAAGAGACATGTGTTGGGAGGTTGGCAGGCGTGGGAGACATGTGTTAACAGAGTTGGCAGTCATAGGTGACATGTGTTGACAGAGTTGTCAGGCGAAGAGACATGTGTTGGGAGAGTTGGCAGGCGTGGGAGACATGTGTTAACAGAGTTGGCAGTCGTTGGTGACATGTGTTGGACAAAGTTGGCAGGCATAGGTGACATGTATTGACAGAGTTGGTAGGCGTGGTGACATGTGTTGACAGAGTTGGTAGGTGTAGGTGACATGTGTTGACAGAGTTGGCAGGCGTAGGTGACATGTGTTGACAAGTTGTCAGGCGAAGAGCATGTGTTGGGAGAGTTGGCAGGCGTGGGAGACATGTGTTAACAAGTTGGCAGTCGTTGGTGACATGTGTTGACAAAGTTGGCAGGCATAGGTGACATGTATTGACAGAGTTGGTAGGCGTAGGTGACATGTGTTGACAGAGTTGGTAGGTGTAGGTGACATGTGTTGACAGAGTTGGCAGGCGTAGGTGACATGCGTTGGCAGGGTTGGCAGGCGAAGAGACATGTTTTGGGAGAGATAGCAGGCGTGGGAAAATGTGTTGACAGAGTTGGCAGGCGTAGGTGATGTGATGGCAGAGTTGGCAGGCATGTGGTGGGGGATTGGCAGGCGTAGGTGACATGTGTTGGCAGAGTTGGCAGGGAGACATGTGTTGGGAAGTTGGCAGACATAGGTGACATGTGTTGACAGAGTTGGCAGGCGTAGGTGACATGTGTTGGCAGATTTGTCAGGCGTAGGTGACATGTGTTGACAGAGTTGGCAGGCGTAGAGACATGTGTTGGGAGAGTTGACAGGCGTAGGTGACATGTGTTGACAGAGTTGGCAGGCGTAGGTGACATCTGTTGGCAGGTTGGCAGGCGTAGGTGACATGTGTTGACAGAGTTGTCAGGCGTAGGTGACATGT